CCAGAAGGTGTCATCCCTCTGAATACGTAGGATATCAATGCCCTTCAGTGTAAATATAAAGAAATCACAAAACTGTCTTTGTGTATTGTGTGACTGCCGTTGTATTTGGTAGTAGAAGCTATAGTGGTGTTTGGACCTTTCACACCAGGCTCCTTTTTCTTATTTTTCGCCTCATACTCCTTTGCGGTTTCAGCAGGCTTCAAGAATCTTTTGGAACGGGGACACTTTACGTCAACGAAGCCATTTGTTCCAAGTAGTCAATCAGGGAGTGCTGCTAGAAATCCGTCCCTCATATTAACGAATAAGCCGCACTTCTGCACAGTGCAGTTTTCCTGTTCCACATACAGTTCTAAAGCAGCATCCTCATTGATTCTACCATATTCTATTGCGGGTGAAGAAAGGTCTTTGGGTACACGATACTTGAAGCAAGCCTGGCAATGTACGTTGTGGTTCGACACCCACTAATGTCGTCGTCCTTATAGAGCCTCATCATTTAATCATTACCTCGTCACCTCATATTGCTCTTCATCAACAGTAAGTACAATAGGCTGCCGCCTTATTACGATCCAAGAACTGAAAAATTGAGTCGTTCAGTCTTCCAATATGTTTATCGTTTATACAATGTTATTACGTTACATTACCTCGAGACGATCGACGTCCATCGTCGATCTTCAAACACTTATACCTGTATATAAATTAGACGCACAAAGGGGGGGGGGGGGGGGGGGGATTGGTGGCCGAGTGCATGGTCTATACTCTGTTTCACCTTATGATGTACCGCAGTGAAAGGTACATGCGCGAGCTCCTTGCTCTAGGGCACATCTCGGCGGCACAAGCTCTCGTATGTTAACGCTTCTAGCCTTCTCTGCGGTACAACATAAGGTGAAACGGAGTACAGCTCATGCCAGCTCGGAGCACGTGGAGCGAAAGCTCGCGCTGCAGAACCCACCCCGCCCCTGCCCGTTTTGATCTGGAAGAGCATCGTACCGGCGTGCGGTCGTGTATCACTACTGCGTGGTGCACGTTAAAGACCCCAGGTTTGCGGTTGTGCCGCACTGGCTAAATTGTTCATCTACAGCTGAGACACCAGACGCCCACTAAGGCAGACTAACTTCCGGCTGTATAAACATACCCACAACAATATGCAATTAGATGCACAATCACAAAGAACACAGCGTGCCGCCTCTTTTCTTTGGATAGTATTTTTTTTTAAACCAGCGCAAGCTCGCGCGTTCTCTCTTTTGAGACGGTAAGAACGGTTGCACATAAAACCCGCGCTTTTCCTACCCGGCCGCTTCCTCCTCTCACTATGTGTAGTTGGTTAGAACTAAATAAGTTATAATAATAGTGTATTATTCATATTTAGTTTCAGTTTCAGTCAGGGGAAAGGAGATTTGCGGGAAGTAGAGCCAATAAATGAGCTGCGCTTAGAGTATCGGCACACTCTTCCCCGACAGTGTTGTGAACGCCGCCATTATCGTGCTTGTGCAGAGCAGGCGCAACTGCCGATCGTCATGATTCAAAAGTGTGACATCTTCAGCATTAGATTCGGCGTTAGGAAGCTCATGTAATGTTGCTTTGCTTTGTCGCAAACTGTTTAAAGTGGAAGACGGAAAAGCGTTTCTTGTGATTTCAGATAAAGCTTCAAGTAACTGGCAACCATGATTTTAAGCCACAATATGGCCAAGTGTCGCTACTCTGAAGCGTAACTTATTTAATGGCACTATTCATGCTCTTTTTCAAGAGGCTCGTAATACCTGGTGAGGCCATGACGTAAGCCCCGTGGATTCCAGAAGCCACTACCTTTCGACATTTGCCTCTTCGTCATTGTTCCCGCTTGTAAATTAGCTACGGTTCAGAGTAACGTCACTCGGCCATATTGTGGCTTAAAACCATGGCTGCCAGTTATCTGCAGCTTTATCTAAAATGACAGGAAACGCTTTTCCGTCCCCCACAAATGTTTAAACAACCCGCGACAGAGCATTGCAATATTGCATCAGCTTCCTTGCACCGCATCTAATGCTGAGGAAGTCGTACTTTTGAATCATGACGATCGGCAGTTGCGTTTGCTCTGAACAAGACCCGAAATGGCGGCACCCAGAACAATTTTGGGGAACGGAGTGCCGATACTTTAGAGCTCATTTAGTGACTCTAGGCATGAAGTGAACTCCGGTGTATTCTTTTCCTCTTCGTCTTCATTGTTTATTGATTTCAATCATATCGAATAATGAACATATTATATCACGCCACGCTTGTGTAATTATTTGTCTTAGATTTGTTAACCTGACCCAGCACTTAAACCATTCATTTATCGATAGTAAATCTTCCAATATATTTTTTAAATGTGAAGGTAAAAAGACACGGAGATTGATGATGATACAGACGCCAACGCCGCCCTCGGAAATTTTTTGAACATTAGAAATCAGCAGTTTGTCTGCCATCCGCCAGGTAGCGCAACAAAACACCCAAACAGTTTTTAATTGTTTTTAAAGTTAGCTAAGCTCTACAACTATTAAAAACTCAAAGCAAGATAATTGTGAGAATCTAATACATCGCAATGTATATCTATTCCAAACAATAAATATTATTAGATGCCACTAAATCTGTTTGATGTCCAAAAAAGATATGCGTCAAAAGCAGGTACGTTTGAAGGGCTCCTGGAGCGTTATAACTTTGAAAATGAAAAAAAGCCATCGTCCACCTCTTGGGCAACCATTGTAGCTCTAAATGTTATAAAAGATTTTATCATAGTTTAATTATTTCCTCAGCGGCATTTGAAGTACCGTGACTCGAAGCACAAAAAAGTGCTACGTTTGATATAAAATATCTAAACAAAAAAATTTTACACAACATTAAATTTTTTCTGCATATTACCAATTATAAGCACTACATCAGTAGCTAATTTCATTCTCCTAGCGCTTGTCATTAAAAATATATTTGTGCTGAAAAATGTCAATTTTAGGGCAATATTTGGAGGGATGAAAAAAACAAAATAGTGCAAATACCAAAAAAGTGTATCGTTACATTCTGCTCCGACATCATCTTAACAAAACTGCTATATTGGAACCGTGCTACCTTTAATAGATCATTCATAAAACATGAACTAGCGGAGCAAGTGAGGGTCTGCGCCATCATATTCGCAACGCTACAAATGCGCATGAACAGTGAAAACCAACACACACATAATATCAAATGAAAGAGGATTGCATTGTCTTTCGAATGACATCAATCCCACAAAACAGTATTTAAAAGGAGATGAGTAATGGCCTGCCAAAAAGTACCTAAACTGCCACATTCAGTGGGACCGTGGCCTTAAGGTGCCTTATTTTAATCAAGACCACTCATGGTTTTCCTGTAGCTTTTTGTAAGCACCAGGAGAATATTAACAAAGGGTTGTGTTTAGCACACTATCGTCATGGTAGGTTTGCAACTGCCATATGAAAGGGTTACAGAGTCTGGAAACTATGTGATTGGGCCTGTAATACAACATCAAACTAGTTGCGAAACAGTACGGACATCTATAGACAAGGCAAATGTTGACGGGCTCTACCCAGAGTTACCATAATATAATAACCCTTAGCATAAGAAACAAGATTGAGTTCCACCCCCCAATACGCTGATTAGCTGTGCGATATTACTCTAAAATACTTTCGTTGGGTTGTGGATATTTACATGTCCTTGGGGACATGTCTGCTGCTGGTTAGCCCCTGAATTTGAAGTTTGTGTATCTTGCTGTGATAACCTATTCAGATAAGGAGTCGTGGCAAGATTGTTGCATTGCGCTTATCGCATGAAGTGTACATTTTTACAACAGAGCTCTAGTAGCTGAAAGCATTCTCTCAGCTTCCCTTAGGCAAACTAAATGTGTGTAACCCCCTTAATAGCGTTGAGCCTGGTTAATGAATTAGTTAATGTCTGTTGTTTTTTTTTTTGCGTGCTATAATTAAGTTGGTGTTGCGGTTGTGGCCAGGGGATTCCTCTGTTAAAACACACTGAACGTAATGAATGGTTTTAGCTGTTGGGATAACGAAATGGGTTTGCAAAGCTTGGGTATGTCATGGAGCCTATACTTTGCCATTGCATCATAGGCTTTGAACTCATTAAGTTGTTTAGGATGTATAAATCGTAATACTGATTTTATGCTTCCTTCATAGCCTGTGGGGACTAGTGGCCCATAAAGTTTTGATGATGCGTGGGCGTTCATTGTTCGAGCCTAAGACGGTTCGTTAGATCCGCAGTTGGTGTGGGCACTGAATGGCTGAATACAACAGCGTTTTATGCTGCTTGCATGGCATTCCTCTGAAATAATTTTTTTTTTATTATGACCAGAAACATACCTTTCTTTCCCCCCTCACACACATGCACAAAATAAATGACAGCTGTGAATTTTAGTGTTTCCTCCAGAAGCGACCCAGACCTTATGCTCTTAGCGAAACCTAACGAGAAAGGTATATACATATCCAACACGAATTGTAGAACCATGGGAAGTTCCCGGTTTTAGAACTAATTACGGTCAACACACTACTACATCATACTCCCCTCCAATTACACTGAATCAGTTCAGTAGAGAAAATATAGAAATCAAAAATGTATCGGTGAGCGGCTTACGGGAATTAATCATGCACATTTCAAATCAAACAAGACAAAACTGTTAGAAAACTGTTGGTTTTTGGGGATTGAAGTGTTTTTTTTCCATGGTTTGTCTCATAATGCTCTAGTCCGTTCAAATTGACTGGTTTATTTTCTGCATTATATAATGATACTAGTGGTTTTGTATAGTGTCCCTTTTCTCTCATATAAAGGATCTCCTTTCATGTTTCTTATTTATTTCCTAATAATGTGTAAATAATTTTAGTGCCCTTGGTCTCACCTGCTATTTGGTTGGCTCAGGACTAGTCAAGCTGTGTTACAGCTTTCTTCCTTTTTCACTCTCCAACTGTATATTGTTGGCAAAATAAATAAATTCATTATTATTATAAGTGCCTTTGTCTCTGGTGCAGATTTGGATGTGTGGCGGGAAGCTGGTGATAGCACCCTGCTCTCATGTGGGGCACATCTTCCGCGACTATCACCCGTACAAGTTCCCCAACAACAAGGACACGCATGGCATCAACACCGTGCGCCTTGCCGAGGTCTGGATGGACGGCTACAAGAACTATTTCTACCAGAACCGTCCCGAACTCAAGGTAGGAGGTTCTTGCGAGTTTCTAACTTGGAAATGGTGCATTCTCACTGGAATTGTACGGGACATTCCCGTAGACACTAAATAGTGTGAAACTCCTGGCGCTCTAGCAAAAACACTTTTAGGAGAAAAAAAAAAAAAAAAATTATGTGATGACTTATTTTTACAAACAAATGGGGAAGTTGGGCTGCTAAAAGAACATAAAGGCCTTGCTGCAGTTTGGTTGGTACCCTGCTGAAATGAATTCACCAGTTAATTGGTATAAATCATTCTTTATGTATGTACGTACAATATACAGGGTGTTTTGTTTTGAGCTTCACAGATTGTTAAAGAAAAAAGAAGCTGTGAAAGCTGAAATTGCAGTTTGTGCACGAGGGACAAGAGATATACGGCCAGGGGTACATAATATAGGAGGCTAATCATCACAATAAGTTTGCTAATTAACTAAAACAGACTCATTAACTTTTTAATTAGTGAAAATAAGCATATGGTTCCAATTAGAAATTCGGTGAGCGCCATCGAAAACCACCAAATCGCTCCATTTTAGAAATACATAGCACGTGAGAAGCACAGTGAAGCGCTAAAGTTACCACCTGTGCAGCAGGCGCAATGCTACGAGTGCAACAATGCACCCGCACAGTTTTCCTGTGTGTTATCCGCATTTTCTCACCGCATGCTGCCTGTTGTACGACGCTTGGTGACTTCAGCACACTACTGCGTTTTTCGTGCGCTAACTCTTTCTAAAAGTTGTTTTGTTGTTTCTATTGTAGTAGTTTTTGATGACTCTCGGCATGTTTCTAATTAGAACTATATGTTTTTTCCCCCATTAATTAAAACTTAATGACCAATTATTAGTTCATTATTTGACTAATCATGATGATTATCCACCTATATTATGTTCCTCCGGCCATATAACTCGCCTGCAAAGACTCCATTTGTGTAGTTTTCATGGCTTTTATAAAACAGATCTGCAAAGCTTAAAAAGAACACCCTGTATATCATTATTTCTGCTTTTCTCCTTTCAAAAATTATGTTACAGGCTCTATAAAAGAAAGCACATCTTTCTCGAGTTGCATGCCTCAGTTGGCGAAACTGTTGTCTTCCAGTGTAAATATAACTCGGGGACGCTGCTATACTTTCCACTGTTTATTTACTAGGATCAAACATTAATGACAGATTTAATTTCGGTTTGTATTTTTTTGTTGCTTTGGCACATGTTGGAACATGCACTTTGCAGAGAGTTTACCATGGGACCTATTGGAACTATTATGATACATTTTTCAAGAGTCTGTGCTGTGGGACAGATTTGAATTGTGATACATTTTGCGTGATACTTTGATGTGGCTCATATTGGAACTGTCGTGATATGTTTTGTAGGGGACTTCGCTATGCACCTATTGGAACTGTTATTATACAGTCTGCAGGTGACTCTGCTGTCGCACCTGTTGTAACTGTTGCGATACATTTTGCAGAAAACTAACTACGGGGACATCTCAAAGCGCAAGGCCCTTCGGAAGAGCTTGGGCTGCAAGAGCTTCAAGTGGTACCTGGACAACGTGTACCCAGACAAATTCGTTCCAAATGAGAAGGTGCATGCCTTTGGAAACGTAAGTATCCATTTGTGAGAAACATTTTACTTCTCTTTCTGCCTCAATCTCGGTCCAATGTTTAACTCGCACAGGTGCAGTCTGGAGCTTGTTTGTCTTGTGCAGAGATTGGGGAAACACAATTGTTTCCCCTTCAAGTTACATTATGAGCTTTTTATAGGACGGTTTCGTGAAACACTTTGTCCCTTTTTGGTAAGCCGCGTTCTGCCATGTTGATGAGCAGTGTTCGCCACTTTTGCACTTTTTTTAGATGCAAATGCTTAGTTATCGGCGTCGTTTTTGGCATTGGTGAAATGCCAAAGCATGGCGAGTGGCTCCGTCGATGACATAACTCAGCAAGTGTCATTGGGAACGAATTTGGGTTGCATAGATCTAACTTGATGCCACCGAAAAATGTGACACATTGTACAAGGGGTTGGGACGTTTTCATGCCCGTTTGTTTCGGTACCGGGCATTTAGTAATGCACTTAGTTATGTCAGTAAATTGTCAACGGGAATTGTTTTGGGGACCTCCAGTAAGCTCGGGATAATTAACACTTAAATATTTCATACTTCTGGTTGATTCAAACAAATTTGAAGATTTTGGTTGTTCCGCTATGTTTTTAATGTAGTGATAAGCCGCTTAATTCAAATGGCATATTCGTGTAATTAATATTTTTTTGTTCACGTGACCCCATTGAGTGTGCTTTTTTCTGAGCACCAATGCACTGCAGAGAGACAACACTTATGGCACTTGCTTCCCTGGGTGTTGCTTCTCCGCAGTGTACCGGTGCTCGGTGAGAAGCGCACTCAACGGGGCTTAAGCAGGGCGCACATGAGCTATAAAAACGGGCACCATGCGGAAATTTCCATAGCAACTTTCGTGGATGTTGTGATGTGGCAGCATGGCATAAGTACATGTCACAACATCTGCGCAAGTTGCTCAGAAAACTGCCACACGGTACCCATTTTCATTGCTCATGTGTCCCCCCCGCCTTCAACTCAGAGGGCTTCTCTGCCATTCATTTTAACAAAAAAGAAAATAGAAAAACAACAAGAAAGAAAGGTGTCTCGTTTCCATGCTGCTCGAGCGTGCAATCTTTCTGACTTTTGACGGACATTAGCTCGAACACCGTGCGAGAAATCTCTCCACCTCAACTCAGGTCTATAACTTCTATTGCTGCTGCCGAGGCACGAAACTAGGATCAACGACGAAGCAGTGTCTAAGCAGTTCGCATAGTGCAAGTCCCAAGTTCTACATGATGTGGCGCAGTCAGAAAACAACTGCAAAAACAATCATGTGTCCTACAGAGAAGTAAGGGAAACAGGGCCCGCGACAGGCTGCCATTTGCCGCAGAGCCGTATATGGGGAGAGTCTGGCCAGTGGGTGTAGTGACGAAGGCGCTGGAGAGGAGAAAAGTGAAGGGAAAAGAGGCGCCAAAGGAGCGAGAGAGAACGAAGGGAGCAAAGAGGAGACAGCTGCCATTTTGACGCAGCGCTGTCAGCATGCCGAGCACTGTTGAGGCTATGCGTCGTCTGTTACGGGCTTATTTCTTTTTCGCCTTAATCATTCAAACATGGAGAAACTTTAATCGTTAGCTTTTTAAGCCACCGAGGAATAACACTATATCATTTTCTTGCCAGAGCCTGCCAAATGAAAAGAGAAAACCGAAATTTGGATGTCGATCCCTCGCATTCGGCCGGGCGAATGAATGAAAATGGCGGCCCTCCCCGCTCAGCTGGGAGCAGCCAAGAGTTCATGCTCACGCTTCTCGCTCTCCGCCTGGGGCTGTCTGGCTCACTCGGGAGAGGGGCGTTACATTGGCGAGATCATAGACCAGCCAAACTCTCCCCATATGCGGTTCTGATTTTCCGCACATCGAGGGGCCATCTGGTGGCGCCAGTGGCGTATCAACTTGTTTTTGAGGGGGAGGGGGGGGGTGCAAACCAGACACCCCCCAGGGCCGGGGGGGTGGGGGGGGGGGGGGGGGGGGGGGTCGGTGCCCTTGGTATCCCTTGGGCACCTCCAGCCAGAGTTTGCCCTGCCCAGTAGCGGCTGTTTCAGGGGGGGCAAAACACACTCTGAGAACTTGGGGGGCGAGCGTCCCCCTTGCCCCCCCGGTTGGTACGCCACATGGGTGACGCCGCTTGTAATGAAGGTGAAGAGAAGTCTTTATGTTGCAGCTTCGACGTGCGCGATGTCCACACCTACATATATGTTACACCGTGACCTAGGGCCACAAAATATGCTACGCTTCGTTGTAACAACACTCGAGCCATCTTTTTGCCTGAAATCGTTATTGCCGGTCATTTGAAACTTGAATTGAAATCGCAGGAGGCGCTTTTCTGTCCTCCAGAAATGTCGAAACAGTCTGTAACAGAGAAACGCGGTACAGTCCGAGCTTCGGCACCGCATCTGAAAGCTCATGAAGTCGCATTTTCGAATTGTAACGGTTGCCGACTGCGCCTGCTCTGCACCCAGCAACAAAATGGCGGTGCAAATGAGACTTCGGGAAGTGGAGTGTTGATGCTCGCAGCGTAGCTTAATTTGCAGCTCTACATTTGGCCTATGTGGCTCCTTTCCGAGTGGACGGCTGCATCATTAGCGTCTGAGAGGGTTCTGCCTCCGTGCACAGGTGAAGAATGCCTGGACTGGCATGTGCTTGGATTCCATGAGCCATAACTACGACAACGTGGAACCACTGGGACTGTACCCGTGTCACAAGGAGGACAATGTCGGCGGCAACCAGGTAAAAGATTTCTCCATGGCCGACTTGAAGTGAGAATTGGGTGCGTGGAACGAGCCACTAACCCTCACTTTCGGTTACACAACACCATGAGCGCGTTACTATTAAAAAAACACTACATATTAAAAAAAAAAAAAGTAAACTGCCTGGATAGGCGATTTATGTCACAAAATGCATAAGTATCTTTCAAGAAAGGAAATTTGGTTGAAATAAGTGTATATAAGCCATGACACATATACGTATTGAGTTCGGGGCAACGAAGTACAGGGGCTTAGAGTGATAAACCGGGGTTCCGGTCTGCACTCGAAAGTGACCCCCGAGCCAGTCCCTGCTACCTGGAAGAACCACCGGTAATCAGTCTCCTGCCAAAAAAACCGAAGCTGACTAAGCCAACAATGACAAACGTGTAGCAGCAAACCGCGTCCGCTCCCACCATTGCTTGCATGCCTGTCGCACCTCACACTCCGACGCCATTTTACACAAGGTGTATGAAAACGTTGAGGGCTGGATCAAACAATATGACCGTGTCGCCTGCCATAATGGGTGGACAGGCAACCAGCTCGTGCAGAGTCTATACTTTTCGTGGATGGATGGATGGATGGATGAATACGGCTGAGCCCTTTGGATCGGGCGGTAGCTTACGCCACCAAGCCATTTTGTTTTACCATTTAAGCTTAGAATATTTAAATGTGAAATCTATATTCACTCCGCAGTGCAAAGAAAGTGAGGCTATGAAACCCCCTTGCCATCAATGAATAAGAAAATACCTAGTTTTCTCTCGATTTCTGCCACCATTCACTTAATCTTTGCTTGGTAATCTCTACGGCTTTGAAATCCACTCTCCCTTCGCTGTCTCTAAAACCCAATGACTTTATTAAATTTATGTTATCTTCGGTAGGCATAGGGTGAAGCCCTTTACAGTAGAGTATCAAGTGCTCAGCCGTCTCGTCCTCCTCTCCACAAGCAGTGCACACTGTATCCATTTCCTGGTACTTCACTCTGTATGTTCTGTTCCACAGAACATTCGTCCTCGCCTCAAACAACAATGAGCTTCCCCTAGAATTCTCATAAATGCTTTCTTTGGCAATAACTGTTTTGTTTAATCTATAGCTTTCCAGAGCCGTCTTTGTCTGCATTCCCTCTAGCCACCGATCTCTTTCTGTGGCCTTAACTTTCTTCTTAACTGAGACTTGCTCTTCCGTATCTTCGCTATAGCCCAAAAACTTTCCTCTTAATTTCCTAGTGCGCTGTCTCCACTTTGTGTCTACACTCCTCATGTATAAATAGCTGAAAACCTTTCGTGCCCAATGCTCCCCATCCATTTGCCTCAACCTATCCTCAAATTCTATCTTGCTCACCGCTTCCGTGCTTTCAAATGACGTAAGAAAGATGGAGTAGCGCCACCTGGCGGCTTGTCGTCGTGACGTAGTACCAAGTATTACGTGACCGCTTGATCGCTTCGTTGGTAGCATGCAGGTTGAGGTGTATCATTGATAATTCATGTTTGATTTATTAATTTGGGCTAAAATTTGGGGTTACGGGTGACCTAGTTCTTTTGTTGAACTTCTCGTCAAAATCCAGCTCAAGCAGTGCAGCAACAGTGGCATCGCGAGGTACGGAACAGGATCCAGTTTCGTGTTATCGTACGGACTTTGACCAGATGGGTCGTCATCGTGGTTTTGGAGGTTTGTCAAGCGACCAAACAGGTAGATTCTGGGACAACATAAATTTCCGGAGTGAGTTTTCTTTTATTTTTCTTTTTTTTTTCTCGGCCTGTTGGAAACAAGCAGGCAGAGGAAATAGAAACCAATCGCGACGATTGCCGTGCAGGCGTTAAACTTGGCATTCCAATCGGCGTTTTCTTTCTTAGGTTTCTCGCACGGTTTTAGAAGGACAGATGAGAAATAAATTGTATGTACCAGATGATACGAGGGTAATCTGTAGCGTGTTTATTTGAGCTTTACATCAAAGAAAGCAGCAAATAGAATTGACGAGTGTGTCACTTCAACGAGACCATCCTCCACCACCGCACAACACTCCGAAAATTAGGAGGGGACGACGAAGAGATAACACTGACCTTCTAACCTAAAGATATAGGTCAATGTTCAAACTATTTATGCTAAACAAATTCATTAAAAAAAAAAAAAATTGGGGTTGCGCAATTATAATTTAACGAGGCCGCTGGTTGTAGGCAGTGAATGACGAGCACCTTGCTAGTTTTTCCCATCAACTTCAGTTGCCGCTGAAGTCGTTGGGATTGTTGTCGTTGCTTACAGAACCCATAAATCGAGCTGTCTTTACCGAGAATTGTAGTTTCGAGTACGTACTTGTTTTCGTTTGCTCCTTGAAGTCGGGAAGCGCACGTAGTGGGCCTTAGAAGTATGCTTGTTTGTCTCCATGGCGAAGTATCCGAGCGACGTTGGCGGCCATGAAGCTATTGTAGAATTCCATCGTAACTTTCACACAACTTCCAATTGTTTCATTTGGCGTACTGTAAACAACTTATTTTTTGCGGGTTCAATCTTTCACAATTTAGTTCAAAGCTGAAGTTTTGGAATAATTTGCGGGTTCTAATTTTCGCGACGTGGCGGGATCTCAATATAGATTCCAATGTGTTTACATTTTACCGGAATTGTTCGCGAGACCTATTTCTTTCCCGAATCGTAGGCCATTCGCAAATGTTCGAAAATTAGGTCCTCATGAAAATTAAGCCGTTTACAGTATTCGGATTTCTTTTTAGGTTTTGTCCCATGCACGTTTTGCGTGATAGCAAAAACAAAATACACTTGGCAAATAGTTTCTGTTGCTTTGCGCTGAAGCACACAGCTAAAGCAAAGCAAAGCGGAGAAAATACCTAGCATCGTCACGTGATATTTGTTACTACGTCACCATCGAGCGATCGCAGTGCTTCAATCGCTCCCGCTCGGGGCTAAAAGCCTGCAGAAATGGACGCGCCCGGGGTTGCCTGTAGTAGGTTCACTCCCCGAAGGGGCAGACGTGTCCAAGTGTGAATGGTCGCAAAGGGTGTGCCAGTGGCAGGTCACCCGAGAAAGACGAGGGAGTCCACAAGGAAATGCAGCCTCGCATCTGAGACACACCCTGACACAGTGACGTCCCACGGCCTGCCTCAGCTAAGCCCAGACAGTGATGCGAGGAACATCCGGTCCCCACAGTACAAAGTGCCAACGGCGCTTGTATTGGCGGGGAAAGCTGCTAGTAAGATGAAGCTACGTAGCGTTCATTGCTTGGCTGGTTCAGGACGACCCTTTCGAAGCTTCGAAGATTTTAAAAGACCGAAATGGCGATCGTCACAACAACAGAGACTGATCAGCCAATCACCTTGCGAGGTTTTGGTCATTGCAGTATTATAAGACCACGCGCTGGCCAACTATTCTGCGGGGTGTAGCTGGATGAGGTGCCATTGACCTAAAGGCAGGTTCGCCGGGACATCGCTGGATGCGTAAGGTCCGACTCACCGGGCTGCTGTGTGAGTTCCGGGAAACGGCTGGTCATTTTGGAGCGGCGATTCCTCCTACGACATCAGATCCCGCAGGACGAAACCAACAGACACGTTTGTTCTGGTTGTGGTCTAAGCGTGTCCTCGAGCGATTGGCCGGATCGCTCGCCTTTTATTGATTTTATAACAATGGGAACTGCTACCCAATCAGTGAACTCGCGTGATGTGATGTGACGTAACTTTCTCTTTTACACATCACTACAGTCATCTGTTTGTTGGTGTTTGTTTGTGTCCAGCTAGCAGGCAGGGAAGGCAATGTCGCTACTTTCCCAGGGTTTACTCACTTGAGTCAGGTCTCAGCCGACCGCCGACGCAGCACTCGAGTCCATTCCGTGCCCTGTGCTGGCCTTCCGTAGGTGACGTAGAAAACCCTGCACTATGGCCCGCCTGTATTGAGAAGTATTTGGCTAAAGTGGAAAGAGTGGAGGGCTTTGTGGGATGGGCTTCTCATGCATTTTGAATGCTTCAACAGACTACGGGCAAGAACATCCGAAAGTCGCGCTCCTCGCGGCTAAGTTGAGAACTGAACGCGCGGGGGGACAACACGTACTATTAGTTTATATTTGTGACGCGTCGCTCGGCTGACGCTGTCAATAGATCTATTGCTAAAGCACCCAAGCATAAAAGAGAATGCTGAGAATGTAAGTACATATGCCGCACATGCTTGCCTTCATATAAACATTTCAAAGTAAATAACCTGAATAAAGCGTTGACGAACGCACATGCAAGATGTCATTTGTTTTAGGTTTTTGCTTTAGAACAGTTACTGCTGCAGACACCAGCATGTGCAGTGCGTGTAACTATACTTGCACCATGTTCCTTGGTACTTGGGTAATTTGGCAAAAGGTCTGTCGCTGCGTCAGCATTTGACTAAGGTTCGTGTTAGAAAGTGAAGTTGTGATTGAAGACGGGTTTCAATCAAATGCCGTTGCAGCACGCGTGTCTAATCCGTGCCCTACTCTCAATGGGCCTTTTTCAAAGTTTGGCCACAACCGTGGCGCACCCTTGCGGGAATCGCTCAAAACACTTTAGGGGGCTCTGGGACCGTAGCTCTGTCGTCCGTGCCTGCGCCTGGCATGTCTCCCGGTCCACGTGTCTATGTGTGTTCTCTGGTGGTGCTGTTCCGTCTTTCACCATTCCGAACGAGTCTTTCTGTGGTCGCTTTGCGTGCATCTTTCCTTCGAAATGGCCGAGGATAACCCTGGAGGATTAACGAAAGCTACTGTTTACAATACAGATGACCTTATTAGTGTTTATACTTTTGAAGATTGATATTCCGCTGATAGTGCATCGGTTCCTATTGTCAACTCAGAGTCACTCAATCGTCAGTTCGGTATCGCGTCGTGCAAGTGACTGAAAAGGCTTTCAAGGCAGAGTGTTATGTAGGAAAAGTAATGGTGACCAGTTTCGATCCCGACCCAACTATCAAACTTGTGCGGAGCTAGTGATCTCCGTTTATGAGGCCCGGTCACTACAAACATTGCACCCGGGAACATGTAAATAAACTTGGGTGGGGTAAAATTTGGGCGGTCTTGATATCGCGAAGGTTTGCCTGCACCATCAAAAAGTAAGTTAGGTATGTAAGAAACAATCTTCCTTTGAATTCAGCACGTTAACAAACTTTCGACGAAGTGGACTCGGCAAACGGGAGTTCGCAATTGATTGCCAAGGCGTTCTGTCAGGGTTCTGTTGCCGTAGGGCTTGAATCCATTTCACACGCCTTAAATGTTTTGCCAGTGACTTATAATTTTTGTGTTGTTTCTTTTTTTTTTCACTTTTAACGTGGCAAGATGCAAATGTGTATAGCGCACGGCTGAAGAACGAAATGCTTTATCCAGTTATTCTTTACTTGAGTACCAGGTACAACATGATTACGTTACACAACCTCTCATGCACACTTACTACCTTTTAGTTAAAAGCAGAATGTCCCGCCGTCACATTGAGGACCCGGCCACCTGACACGGGGGATTCTCATCATAGGCTTCCGAGACGGATTTTTTTTTTAAAGCAGGGCGAAAAGACTGGGGTGTTTGACATTGCATGCTTTCGTGCACCACGTGCGAAAGGCTGCTGGAATTCTATAAAATCTTGAATTTGAGCCATTTTTGCTGTTGTTTGTACTACCTACAGCTGCACAGTGGGGGGCATAACGACTATGAAGCCAAGCCGCGAGAATAGCGGAGGGAGTCAAGCCGAATCAGCACTGTCTGAGCGACTGAGACGACAAGAGAGCCCCCCAAAATGGCGGCTTTCCCTTTCCTCCCCTCTGAGTTGGCATATGCACCCAGTGATCTCTGAAAAAGGTCACTTGACGAGGGCCTTGTGTTGGGTTCTCTAGAAACCAAGCTCTATAGAAAAAAAAGCTGGACAAGGCACCCCCTATAGTTTGTCCCCTCACCAATAGTAGTCAGTATTGTTTAGGGCAGCAGCAGTGCACAGGTGTGACGGGAATACTTTCATGCTTTGTTAATATGGACCCCATTGATGCGAATACCCTGCTTTATAGACAGCATTTTCTGGGACGAATTGGGTAAGTACATGCATAATATGTACAGCTCGCATTATGGGCAATTATTTTGTGGGAATGGAGGTGTCTGTAAAGAAGAAGACATGACTGTACTCTCCAACCGCTGTGGCACTCTCTTTGCAGCTCGTGTCTTACACCTGGAAAGGAGAGCTTCGCAAGGAGGACAGTTGCGCCCAGTTGGGTGCCGAGGAGCATTCGGAGTCCGGGACCCGCCGCAAAGTAATGATGGCGCCGTGTGGAGAGGACAGGCCGGATCCCGGCCAAGTGTGGGACCACAGTGCGGGGGGCACCATTGTCAACCGCCAGACGGGACTGTGCCTCGAGTCTGCCTCTTCGGAGCAGGATGCTGCGTATGTGCGGACCTGCACCAAGGGTCACAACCAAGTCTGGTGGTTCCAGCACTACGCCAATCCCAAAGTGAAAGTGGAGCGTAGCATTTGAGGTTCCCTCCGCAAACCGGTCTCGCCGAGTACGTCGGGACGGCCGTGGTTGCCTTCTGCGCTAAAGTACAAGTTTGGGACTTTTACACTGGGAGAGGGACAACTACCTGGTTAACGTTTATCGGCTCTTATGTGAGAAGCATGGCCAGGAAAAGTTTCCCGTTAATTCCGGTCATGCCTCTCAGATATGAGGAGAACCGAAAGACCATCTTGCCTTCCGTAATACCTTCTGTTACTTAAGAAGGGGGTAAATTTTTTTTATTAATGCAGACAGCATTTGTTGTAAACTTTGGGAACACCAAGGAGACATTTCTTTGGGCGGTTTTCAAAAGTGGGGCATTCCAAGAGACTGGAGTGATTCTCTGCTGACGAGGGTGCGAACTAGCCCCGATTACAAAGGCTTCGTTAATGGGTGTGCATATGACATACCTGGCATTTGCTTGCAGAGTGCTTCTGTGTTGCATGCGTGGAATTGAAAGGGGTTGGCTGAGGCTTTTCATACGAAAGTGCTTTTAGCATGTCTTGCGGTGCTTTTACAACCTTGTTTTTGGCTGCTGGACTTACTCCCCAGCAGCCACACAAGGCGTCACAAAGGTGCTTGCGATTGGGTTTGTTTTGATGTCTCGAGTTCCTCTACCTTGGGCATAGACGGGAAGAGAATCTCGCATACAGAATCTGTTTCACTGCCTCAATATCGGTTCCGCAACTCTTGTACACGGCGTCACACTACAAGTTGTACTGCGTGGAATCATTTTTTTTTTTTAGTTATTATTCAGAGCTGTACATATCACTATTTTCACAATAAAGTAATTTTTTTTTCTACCTTGGTTACAACGGCGGGTGATATTTTTTTTCAAGAAAGATCTATTTAACACTCGGAGGACAGTAAACATCGTAGTCCATTATTTTTCTCCCGGAGAGCCTGTGGTATCGGCAGCGGAGCACCTTTGCCGCAGCCTTGGGCTGCCGGTTCCTGGTGAAGATTCCCTTGCGGTTTCCCAAGACGCGGTTAGACTTCTGGTCGGTCATGAAGTCTGCAAAGTTCCAGACGTGCTCTCCCACAAAGTATCCCTTGCTGCGCAGCTTGTCAAACGCGCTGTGGTGGTGAAAGAGCAGCTGCGCCTGGAAGTCTTCGCTGTACACAAAGGCGGGATCGGCGTGCAGCCCGGCCACTGCACCGGCTCCATACTCGCTAATCATGATGGGCTTGCGGTAGTGGGCATACATGGCCTCATATTCGCTGATCGTCTGCGGCTCAATCACTTGCAGCGAGCCAGGGTCGCCGTACCAGGCCACGTAGTTGTTGTGCATGATGACGTCCATGTACTGGCCCTGCAATCGAGTGGTGGAAGGCTTAGTCAAGTGCACTCTGGGCGTGTACACTTGACGGCGAGCTTCAAAGAGGTAGCGTGAGCTCTCGATATCAGTGGCGTTGCGTGAAAATCTCTGGCTAACTCCGCAGTGTCAACATCAAAATGCTCGAGGCAAGGGTGTACAGGTCTGGCGGCTTTGCGCGCATGCTTTTCTCAATATTTGGACTTCGCTGTGTGGATGAAGAGTGATCCAGGGTTTTCTATAGGATTCTCATAAAGAAACGGGGAGTTCTGCATTATTGGGAAGCTGAGAAGATGTTGGTGTCAAATGACTGCACATTCGAATTTCCAGAAAGTTTGTTTATGCCTCTTTGTAAATTGTATTTCTTTGCATATCTGTAGTTAACCATGGAGTTTACTTTAAAAAAATTTTGTCAGGGCAGTCGAATGCTCGAACACATACAACCACAAACACACGTACTAAAAGCGCGAGTCACGGGACATTCGCTGCACTTGACTAGGTTAGCCAATGAAAGAACATGTAGAAGGAGATGACGAATGCCATGATGTCGCGCTTTGATGCTGCGAATTAACTGGCCAGAGTCGATGATGCTGGTTGATCGCCGACATCGTCGATGTCAGGAACTAATAGTCCCGAGAAAAGTTAGCAAAATAGTAGGGCGGCAGATTGCAGCTACTGTGATAAAACAGAACCAGGATCTTGTACTCCTGACAAGATCACTTGATTATTGTGTCTGCCACGTGCCTTCGTTCCGTGAACTTTCGCCGTGAACCGTCGACTTTCGCCTCTCATCAGCGTGCGCGCGTCGAGCTTTGCCGCTTTGCACCGGAGTGCTAGGAGCAGCGGCTGACGTGGTGGAGCGCCTGGCTTAGTGCGATAGACACGCACATTATTCTCAGGATGATTACAGGTCGACCTTTGTCCTAATTGTAAATTATCTCTAACAAAAAAAAAAAGAAACAGGAAGAGAGAGAGAGGAAAACACGGGTCTATGTTTACTTGAATAAATACGGTAGTCGCGGTAATTCCCTTGCGGCTGTCGATCGAAAGATCAGCGAACTTTGACATAACTCTGGTTCATACGCCGCTAAAGCGCAGTGTCACCTTTAAAGCGCAAGTGTAGCTTTTAAATTTTTGGGTGGTTGTTTTTGCAGTTTATGAGAGTAGGGTCTTGAGTTTGTTAGGTTCATTAAAATGATACAGGACGAATTTTTATTGTTAGACGTGTTAGCGGATATGCTGGTTCTTGCTGGCATTTTACTGAAATTATATTCATAGGCTAAACAAACTACCGAGTGTAAAATGGGGAGGGAAGAGAGGATTTAGTTCAGTGAAGTGTTGCGCTATAATACACTTTCCAACCATATTTTAATACCCATTATAAATTAAACCTATTCTGACTAGAGCCTTATTTAAGAAGACTGTTCTTTTTACGTCTTTTCTAGTCTCATCACCAACGGTAATTAATAATATGCTCTATTACTATCAAAGAGGAACTTTTGATCACTATTATGAATGAACTCATTTGGGGATGCAATCAGTTTTTCATTCTCAAGTGACGTGCAAACAGATGTTGGCATCTGCTCTAAGTGTGTCAGTGGCCCCACGAAACCAATATTGTGCCTGCTAAAGAACCAGCTACAAAAGGTCAAATGCCGCTTCCATCACTGAACTTGGCATCTGGCCAACTCTGTGGCAGCTTCCAAGTTCGGAACGCTCAAAGGATTGTGAATTTTCTAATGCTTTTTGGAACGCCTTCTTCGACGCCGAAGGCTGAGGTGAATGCAGTAAGGAAGCAAGAAAGCATATTTCATGCTTCAAAAACTATTACTATCAGTTCGAGAAAAAGTCACCGTTGATGAAAAGGCGAGAAAACGTTTGCTCGAAGATTCTTGATCGTGCTGCATGCAGCCCGCACGAACCTGAGTTTACCGAACCGTGCTGTAGAACCACATTTGCCTCAGAAGCAAGTGCATCGGCGTTGCCTCAAGTCCCAGTTCCTACCGCCAAATCTTTGCTGTAGGGTGCGTTGAGTGCAGCGGTCACGGGCCTGGTGGTGTCTAGCCTCTTGACATGGGCCACCAGCTCGCCGAAGTAGCTGTCTGCCTGCTTCTTGGCGGACTCCGGCTCGTTGGCCACGGACCACATGATCACCGATGGTCGGTTCTTGTCCCTCTGGATCATCTCCGTCATGCGCTCCTTGTGCGCGGACAGCAGGGCCGAATCGAAGGAACTGCGAGGAGGTTGCACGCGTTCGACTGTAAGATCGTTAGCATATATACAGGGTGCTTTTTTTTTAGCTGCATCAAATTTTCAAAAAAAAACAAAAACAGAAGAGCTGCGTTAGGGCACTTTTAGTTATGCCATTAGCATACCCGACCTGGCGCCCACTAGAAACCTATTTTGTGCAACTGGGCGACTAATTAACGGAGATCTCTTAATTAACTTTTTAATTATTGTTTTTGAAACGGCCTATTGCATTTACGAAATTGAAGCCCAATCTTAATATGCTCCAACCCCACAGTGAAGTAAAGACACAAACAATTTTTGCGCGCGTTTCTGGCTAAAGTATTTAATTCCCGCAGGCTCTTTCAAACCGAAACGGACTAGAACAATAGCGTCGATATCTTCGCCCTCGCTTAAAGTCACAGCACTGCCGTCAGCACTTTTGCAATACGTTGCGCTCTCCTTAGTGTTTTGCTTACCGCGGCAGGTGTAATTTAAGCGTCTCCGGTCGGCGTCAACTGTGCTGTGTCATCCCTCTCTTGACCTGTGGGCGACGCGACGCTTTTGTTGGTACGATAAATGCTGTTGCATGCATTGCCAACGGCCGGCAACGTTAGACGAGCTTCCTGCGTTTTATTTGGGAAAAATATTTTTTTTTTTTTTTAATTCTGGAGACTTCTGCTACCTATTATTTGCCACCGCTGCTTTATTTCTAAGTTCTTGCTTTTTGATGCATTAAACTAGCCAGTTTTTTTTTTTCAAAGAACAAAGTAATCATGCTTGTGTAATATCACTCGTTGGTCCCTCTGGCAGTTAAACTATTGCAGCGTGTAACAAAATAATCTTTCTTTGTTCTATGTTTTATGAGCTCTTAATAAATGAGGAAGGAGCCTTGCACCGGCGTCCTGGCTTATTTACGGTAGTCATGTGCTGTGCTCGGCACAGTGTGAACATGGCATCGGCGCTTTTTCAAGTGTAGCTCAAACAGCGCACTGTTGAGAACTAAGTTTTACTGCTTCACTTAGAGCCCCAAATAATACTTAAATAATAAACAGAGGGACGGACAGAACAACGCATCTTTCGTGCTTTCGTGCCTCTGTCCGTCCAGCTCTCTGTTTATTCCACTGTCCGTCCCTCTGCTTATTATTTCAGTATTATTTAGTTTACAAACACGCTGACGTCTAACTTAGAGTCCCAAATTAGCACTTTTCACAACACCAGTATTTTCTTCGGAAACCTTTTAGTTCGTCGAGAAAAGCAGGCAAAAATATGGCTTAGCGCATCTTGGTACGTAAAAAAGAAAAAAAAAAAAAAAAGAAAGCTCGGCAGCCAAAGGATTTGGGCGTGTGACAAGAAGCCGCCCAGCGTTTGCCGCCGCCTGGCCGCTTTATGAAGTTGGAAACAGTTGCGTTCAAAGCAAGTGCTAGAATTGGAGTCCATCTACAGAAACGCACATCAACAGTCGGCTCCGCATGGAACACAACACGCGCTCGAGCATTTCAGGCTGAACTGCGGCACAGGCGGCGACGATTCTTTGTTTCAGGTTGTCCACGCTGGTGGGTTCCGTGGCGTAGACTTCATTCTTCACATAACCCCAAAAGAAAAAAGTGAAAGCCGTTTGCAACTCCCTGTAACACCGAATTAGAGCGCAGCTCTTGAGGAGGAGGAGGGAAGGGTACTGCGGGGGGGGGTGAAGTGACCTGGGGGGGGGGGTCACGTGACCTTGGGGGGTCACGTGACGAAGCTGATGATGTCATCAGTGACGATGACGATGCGGACTCCGATGACGTCATCAGCGATGATGACGATGCGGATACCGGTGACGTCATCAGTGACGATGACGTCATCGGGGAGGTCACGTGACCCTGGGGGGTGGTCACGTGACCTCGGGGGGTGTAACGCGACTTCGGGGGGTCACGCGACTTTGGGTGTCACATGACTTTGGGGGTCACGTGACCCTGGGGGAGAGGGGTCACGTGACCCCTGGGGGTCAGGTGACCTTGGGGTGACCTTGGTTACGCCGACGCCGACGCCGCTCAAGCCGGGAACGGGCCCCTAAGAGCTGCACTCTAAAAAAAATCTAACGGGCTCAGATCTGGTGATCGTACCGGCCACGAAACTGGACCACTGCGTCCAATCCACTGCTCTGGAAAAGTTCGGTGTAGAAATCGAACAGCACGCGAAGAAGAATGCGCTGGAGCGCCGTCCTGTTGAAACCATGTCTCCTTCAGCACGCTGAGAGGCGGGCCGGCAACAAACTCTTCAACGACTCCCTCAAGGATTCTCTCCGTGTAAAGATTTCCGTTCAGTGTGCCGTCAAAGAAATATGGGTCAATGATTTTATCATTAACTATTCCACACCATACGTTAATAGACCACCCCACTTGATGTTTCTGCTGACGGAGCCAACGAGGATTTACGTTTGCCCAGTAATGGGCATTGTGGAGGTTCACCGTTGAATTTCTGCAGAATCGAGCCTCATCACTCCAAATTATTTTTTTTCAAGAATCCAGGATCCCGGTCCATTTCAATCAGGGCCCAATAGCAAAAGTCCAGTCGTCGTTGGATGTCACCGCCATGCAGCTCTTGGTGCAGGCTAACGTGAAACGGATGCATGCGATGCTTCACAAGCACTTTCCACACTGTAGAGTTCGTTGTCCCAGAAGACCTCGCTATATCGCGCACGCTTGCTTCAGGCTTAGCTGTTACGTGCGCGAGAACGTCAATCTCAAATTCGCGGCTAAGGACATATTTTTTCTGTCTTCTCCCACTCGCCACCGTGCCGCTTGATGCAAACTTGTTGAAGACGCGTATGAAGGAAGTGTGGGCAAGAACGAAGCGACCTGGGTGCTGAGCGGCATAAAGTTGCGCAGCATGACGAGCATTCTTTTGCATAGTTAAATATGCGATCACCATGTCTGTTTTTTCTTCAACCAAAAGCCTTGTCGCAATGAGCGACACCATTCAGATGTGTTTCCTGCCACAGTCAGAGAAAGAAAGGCACAGCACTATGAATCGCATAGCGCCTGTGTTATTTGTAGTCTTCGTCCTTCCAAAGATATGGGTGCAAACCTGTGTCTTTGACAACAGAGAAGCATGTGACGCAGCGTTCGTCGCTTTGTAGCACCATTGGCACAAGTCTTCAAAGCACCTTCTATCATATGAACGAAAGGAAAGGGTAGCGTCACGATGCCCGCTGGGACAGCGTGATTTACACCTGCCGCGGTAAGCAAAACACCAAGGAGAGAGCAACGTATTGCAATAGCGCTGACGGCAGTGCCTGCATCACAGGTGACGTCACTGCTGTGATGCCAAACGAGGACGAAGATATCGACGCCATTGACGCTCTTGTTCTGGTCAGTTTCGGTTTGAAAGAGCATGCGGGAATGAAATAATTTAGCCAGAAACGCGCGAAGCAATTTTTTGTGCCTTTATTTCGCTGTGGGGTTGGAGCATATTAAGGTTTGGCTTCAATTTCCTAAATGCAATAGGCCCTCTAAAAACAATAATTAAAAAGTTAATTAAGAGATCTCCGTTAATTAGCCGCCTAGTTGCCAGAAATACTTTGTTCCTAGTGGGCCCCAGGTCGGGTATGCTAATGGCATTACTAAAAGTGCCCTATAACGCAGCTCTTCTTTTTTTTTTTTTTGAAAATTTGATGCAGCTAAAAAAAGATCACCCTGTATATAGTCCCTTTCCTGCAAACAATTTTAGGCTACGCTGCAGGGATGCTGACATCGGTGTAGGACAAAACGGGCCCGAAAAAAAAAAAAAAAATGGTCCGGCCAGTCAAAATGGTCCCGGACAGAATGGTTCCAAGCGCAAACCCGGGCGAAATGGTCCTAAGTGACTCGTTGATAATTTGGGCGCTCTTTGAACTTTTAAAGAACTTTAAGTCGACAAACGACATTAGTTTGTTTTGTTTTCAGCGCCGTTTGATTGGTCTTATCAGCTTCTAGCGTCGGCTGCATTGTGACTAGCTATGCGGAGCGCAACTTCGTCTGCTTCTATAGCGCAGGAGTTGCGGTGACGTCAGAACGCTGAGCTCTTATTGGTTCTGATTGAGGGATAATGGAGACCTCAGGGCAGATTGCTTTGAGGTATATTCACTATCCTTTATTCAGAGCCAATCAGAGCTCGTTTTTCTGACGTCACCGCAACTCCTGCGCTATAGAAGCAGACGACCTGCTCTCCGCATAGGCGCCTGAAGAAAATTTAAGAAAATCCAACAGTATTTCTTATAATTTCGAATTAACGCAATGTCGCTGCAAGATAACGTATGCACATGATGATCGATTCAGACATTATCATGCACATACTAGATATATTTTTCTGGCATGCGTGCAGTTGTGTATCGCTACTCCGTGGTGAACGTGAAAGTGGTACAGCACTGGCAAAATTTGACGAGAGTTTGCAGGGACGTCAGAACACCGAGCTTTGGTTCGAATGATCGGTGGGTAGACCTAAAGCCAGCTGCCTTTGTCTGCAATAGTCGAACGCGGTCGAATGCGAGAACCAAACGCCGGCGTTCTGCGTTTTAACCCGTTCGACGAGTGCAATAGACATAAAGGCTGCCTTTGTTTGCACTGCTCTCGTCAGACGCGTTTGAATGCGAAAACCAAACGCAGGACACCGGCGTGCTGACTCAGCCGTGTATTTTTGCTTTCGGGGGTTTCGTAAGACATTGATTCATTCGATCAAGTACGGGTACGGTTCAATCATCATCATCATATTTTTGATTATTTCCTCTTAGGAGATCGCCGTACGCTTATGAAAAATGCCCGTGATGTGTGTATATATATATATATATATATATAATGCGAGTGAGCGAAAATTTACAAGTGCAGCCGTAGTAATATTGTAAACGAAGAGTGGAGAGAGTTACTATTGAATTTATATCATTAATGGTAGGGAAGGGAAAGAGAGCTGGCAACAAATTTGGCCAGAAGTGGGGATCGAACCCGGCCACTGGTTTCGGCGGACTCAATTTATGACCGGCTCTTTGTGTACTGTTAGTTTTCGAATTCGCTTTACTGGATAGACGACAGCCGTGGCTGATTTTAAGGCTCGTGCTAGTTCTGACTTGCGGCAATGACGTGGCACGTCATTTTAGCTTGCAAATGTCGCAAAGCCCGTCTTCCAAGATTTTAATTTAAATTTCTTTTAGACTTGGACCGAGTTTTTTTGACACGATAAATATCCCGAGTTAGACGATGTATTTTCGAAAATATGGGTGAAATATGTACTTGATAAGTGATCTTGAAAAAAAAAAAAGAAGTGTGCAATATTTTATTTATGCGTTTCTTGAAGTGATATAATTGACTTTTCGTTGTTCAATTCGTTTCACAGAGAACTTTCCTCTCTACATGTTTTTTGTGAATAAACAGTCAGAATCACGCTAGTGCATCTTCAAAAGGCTGTATCAGCATGAAATTATATTTGGTAGTTAGCTTATCTTTGGTGACATAGTAAGGCCCCCTGCACAAAGTACAAAATCAAGCTCACGTTTTTTTTTTGTTTTAATTTGAAATGCAAAGAAAACAAAAACACTCATGGTGTACCTTGCGACTGGAGTGCCCTCCTTTCCTTGACCGCACTTTTCCACTATGCTGGTGGAATCCATACCTCTCTTTTTATCCATGTAAAAGCTCCAAGGGCAAAACTTTTTTTTAACGGCGCCATAGTGTTTTTATTGAACCTAAAAGAGCAATGAGCACACTTTTTGTTGTCTACAATTTAAAATTTGCGGCACACGACTGCTCAGCCATGGCCCGGGCCGGCCCAGCCCGAAAAATATTTAGTTCGAGCCCGATCCCGGCCCGGGCCCCCGAGTAAATGCGTCCTACCCGGCCCGAGTCAGGCCCGCGGGCCGGGCCGGGCTCGGCCCTTCGGGCTGGCCCGGGCCCGTGTAATGCTCTAAGCTGAGCTGAGGAAAATAGCAAATCAGTGATCACTTTATTTGCCGATTCGAAGACGTTAGAGTTCAAGGGATTCGTGCCAAGAGTGCTGCTTTTTTTTTTTTTTTCTGGTTATACTTTTTTATTTATTTTAGTTGTGCATAAATATCTGCTTTAGTTCTTGTTGCCCAGTCAGTCATATTACAAGATGACAACTGTCACACGAAAACGGGCTATAGTTCTCGTATCGTCTGACGTTCGCCCCTCCTCTCTATTTTATGATGGTGTCTTTTCTTGCCCACTAGCAACGTACCCTAGGGCAACAGCGGGACTCTCGTCGATGACAGCGATGCCCTGAGCGTCGGCCTGGTCCATGAGCTCTTCGGTGTACGGGTAGTGGGACGTGCGGAAAGAGTTGGCCCCGATCCACCGAATCAGGTTGAAGTCCTTCACAATGAGCGCCAAGTCCAGGCCTTTGCCTCGGATCTGCGTGGATTTTTTTCTCCTTGGAGTTTACGTACACGATGGAAGTTTGGTTATTTTACAAGATAATTAATTGCTTGTATTCGTTGTTTTATCAAACCAACAGGGACGCTTTTTGGACATGATTTCAACTCCTTTAGTTGTATTAGAAATAATCGCAAAATTAAGAAAATCCCGATGAAGGAACAAATGTTGAGCAACCGCGAGCTCCTATTAGCAATCTCGAGGAGAATCTACAACACACGCTCTCAGACATTCCAAGTGCGCCTTGCTGTATACTCGTGAGCATCACTAGCCGGCGAAAACAAACTAAACGTGTGCTGTTGTTGAAGAAGAGCTCTAAAGAACATTCATGTGCGTGCTGTGAATTTTACGCGGATAAATTACCGTCCCTCAATTCCTCGTTATACCCATGTGCCATAATGTTTTGCCTTCATAGATACCTTGCATTCTACAGCGTGGGCCCAATGAGTTTAACCAACTTTAAATTTCTCGAAACTATTTGCTTTGCATGCTACGACACTATCACTTTCCATATGAAAAGGAGGCTAGGCGTGGATTCGTTGTGTTGATATATTGAAGGAGGGAACAATTATTTCACTGAGCAGAAATCAAGACCAAAATTTGGAGGTAAGCATTTTGACAAATTAATGTGAAAATCAATCTTTTTGTGGACCGTTTGGCATTTGACTGAGCAAAAGAAGGAATGTTTAATGTCAGATCGGTTTTCTTGCTCTTTCTTTTTGTTTTCGTTAAATCAAACGTCCTAATGGCCCACAACAACTTTTTTTTTTCACTTTGAGTTGACAAAAGCTTAAGTCCTCATAAAGTAATTGGAAAATTTTGCTTTTTATTGGTAAATTCTGATTAAGTCAAGTTTTTACTTAAATATTAAAAAAAAAAAACAATGTCATACATCACCAAGACACTTTCATGACGAATTACAGAATGCAGCTGATTTTTGAGATTTATTTAAAATAAGCAAAAACAAATAATTTAAAAACTCACAGGGGTCTCTTATGATATCTCTAAGACGACTTGAAGGCGAAAGCCCAAGCGCCGATCCTGGTAAACAACAAATATCCGAAGGCAACGCGCTCTCTAACGACGCACTTCTGGCGCCGTTAATCTCGCGCTATGTCGCACGCCCGCTCTTCACCGCTGCCCGAGCGAGGATTTCCACAGTCCTCCTCTCCTGCTGGGTTTGCGCCACGCGCGCGCCTCCGCCGATTCTGGCGGAAGTAACGCCATCTCGTGGTCCAGTGGCGAACCGTGGGTTTTGGTACCTTTCGTGTCGCCGACGTGTTTTCGCTCAAGGACTGAACGATGAGGCATATAAGGCTTTCGCCTTAAAAACAAATGTAAGCAACCGTTTAAAATTATACGCTATAAGCAATTTTCAATGAGGAAATATTGATCAACGTAGCCCGCGAATACACGAGGATGAATGGCGAACGCTACCAGAAACATGCCCCATTCGTTCATTAAAAAATTTCAAAAGTCACTTATAACTCTTGAATGAGATAAGGATTAGTTCTGAAACTTTGGCATCTGTTCCGATCCACTAGCGCTATTGTTTATTTTTGCGGCAAGAAACAATGACGCCGGAATCGCTAATGTCGCTTACACTGATTCCCGACGACATGGGGTAGCATTTAGCGCAGGGGTTCCGACTCCGCGAAGGATGGGAATTCTAACCTTGGAGAGCCAGTGCTTTGGCAGGTTTCAGATGCTGCCGCCACAGCTTCCTCTGTCTTTCGCTCCCGCGGCGTGTCATTGGAAGCGTGCCAGAAAAATATTTTCCTCTCGCAAGAGGGAAAGTGGACGTAACGACCTAACGAAGGGAGTGAAAGAGCGCGACGAAAACCGTGTACCGCGCCACGGCGTGACGAAACCAGTGTACCCCAATCCAGTCCAAACCAAACCACGGCCGTCCAAACGAAAGACGGCTGCATACATTTCGGCAATAAATGATACATAGTGTATTCGAAGCACGGTTATTTTTTTCCCCAAACATCCGGTATTTAGCGATATAGGTTTCCCAAGTTCATGGAAACCGTTTGAGAATGCACGCAGCAGAGCATAATAATTTTATAACGCGAGGCCAATCCCCTCTGTACTGCGAGAAGATCCCACAACTTGTTGAAACATAAACAATGTGGCGGGTTCACGTAAGGAGACGAGGCACCAAGGAGACACATATTGAAAAACGCTGGACGCGGGTAGGTTTTGGAGCCCCACTGTACGAAAAAACCTTTACCCTGGAGCAAAGTCGAGTAAATTTTGGAGCACGGCCTTGGCGTCGCCGCCAACAGCCGTGGTCGCCGCGTGCTGGCGTCCCGCGTGTTGTGAGACGTTTCGAGACACGCTGGCGGCGATGCTGACGCGAGCTAGGCGGCGCTGCCTGGATAGCATCGACTCACGTCGGCGTCCTCGTGCTTGCCGAAGCCCGTCAAGTAGAGAGGACGCTCGTTGAGCAGCAGCTGCGTCTTCGTGGCCCGCACAGTGCGCAGCCCGAATTTCTGGTAGTAGACGTCAGTGACGCCGTCGAGCGTGGCCTCCACCTGCGAGAACGGGAAGTCGATCTGTTGACCTGGGAGGGTGTCTGCGCGGATGATGGTTTATTAAAAAATTCGGTCATATTGCAACACCGCACTAGCTTCGAACCTGTAAAGTGATTGAGCGTTGCGTAAGCTTCGATGGAGTTTCTAAAGCGGTATTCACACGGGGGAGAAATCCGCGCAGAGATGTGCGTGACGCCGACGGTGAGCGCAATTTCCTCTTCAGCTTCGCCGTTCACTCCGCCAAGTGCCGGGGGGGGGGGGGGGGGGGGGGGGGAGGGAAGGGTGAGGGTCAGCTTTTGCAGTCTAATTTAGCGGTTTCCACACTTGACACCGCCGCACACGAGTTTAGCGAGCTTTGCATTTGACACAAAGTAGTTTAAGGACAAAATTGTATTGAAAACAAAATCCGCCGCCAAACCGTTTGTGCCGCTCGAGCATCCCACCCTCCCCTCCGCGGCTTAGCTGACGTCAAAGCGCCGCATCGCAAAATTTTCCAAAATTCTGGAGGCCCCTACGTATACAGTTGCGTTTGAGCGCGTTTGACTGCTTTGCGTCGAGAAGCGAAAGCGAGTAACCGGCACATCTGTGCTTCTTAAGAAGCGTGGAATCCAATTCAAGGAATAGCACGCGACATGAGAAGCAGGGATGTCCTGGTTTCTCGGATCTGCAACACAGTCAACCGCTGCGATTTTCCAGTCTTCATCAGCGCTCCCGCGATATGTGTACAAATATGTTTCTTAGCAAACCGGTGAAGGCCAGTCGACACAGCTCCATCTGTTTGTGCAACGTTATTACGAGATGTTAGGCATGCTTACGTCCAGAGTCACCTGGACATTCGTAATTCGCATGAAGGGTGGCAATCAATTGAAGAAGTAGCTCTGCACGTGATATACGAAGCACAGATGCCCCGGTGTATTTCGATGTAAGCAGACGTAAGCTTACATAACAAAACGCAACGTAAGCAAACGGTTCTGTGTGAACCGGAACCGCTATGATGAAAACACGGAGATCCTGGTCGCTTCTTCCACACAGCTTCTGCGCATGCGCGGCTTTCCGGCCGTGTTCGCAAACAGAGCAGCGCCGCGTGTCGGTCAATGCTGTGACGCAGTTTGTTAGCGGGGTAAAACGGCACTCACACTACTTGAAGACGCGTTCCAGGCGCCGTAGTTCTATACTTAAACGCTAAAGCTGCAGTCGCACTGCTCGTACATCGCACAAAAGACACGGTCTGCAGACATGATAACATAATAATATGTGGACAAGCCTCACATATACTCGAATCATGTTTGCTTCATACATAAATGTGATTGGAACATGTCTAAAGATAGTTTTTGTACGACTAATGTTTCAGGGTCGTCATAGACTTGTTTCTCTCGGACAGGGGGCGATGTAGCGTCCACTAGACGCGACCATTTAATGCTGTCATGAAGCGGTGTCCTAGCGTTCAAATAGTGTACGATCTGCGTATACAAGCGTCTGGTCGGCGTCCTTCGGCGTCCCGTCACGGGCGCTAACAGGGTGTTTGAAATGACGCAATGCGACGCAGAACGGAAACGCGACCTAAAATTATCCGACTTTCCTCGCCAGGGACACTGCTCAAAACTTAAGTGCTACAGGTCTATAGAAGCAAGAAACACGCCTCGGATAGCGTCTGCAAAGTGTCTTTTGTATGATACGTATTATGTTAGCAATCTGACTGTGGCTTTATAGGGTAGAGGAGGCGTATAGAATCGTTGCTGCTTGCCTTGACTGTGTACTGGTATCCTGGGTTCGGGTGCGTCCCCTGGGGCCACCAGAGCCTGGGGTTGACTAGGGTGAAGTTCCCCGAGCAATCCCCCACCTCGAGGACTTGCTGTCCCTGGTCGTCCAGCAGCGTGAGCAGACATGTCATCTCGGGACTGGGTGGCACCGCGTCGATTTGGTAGTTCACGGCGGCTGCATGCGAAGGTTAGAGACGCGGAGGTTGTGAGGTCGCGAGCTTATGTAATAGGCAGTTCACAGTTGAGAGTGATCCGGTAACTACGGGCTTACCAATTAATTGATGCTTGCTGCGCTCGCAAGTTCTCTAACTGCCAAACTGACTAGCAGGTTAGGTGTATGCTGCATGTCGAGAAGCATGTTTTGCGAAAGCAGTGTCCCTTTCCGTTTGCCTGGATGCACATCATCGGTTTATACTCGTTACGTAAAAGCCAATTTTGATTATAGCGGAATTCCCGCAGTGCTGTTTTTAACTTCTGCCACTGAATATAACATTTGCACAAACACAAATAAAATACCCCTTAAAATCTGTTGCACCAATTTCATTTTAATTTATATTGTTCAATAAGTCGCATGGCACGGCTGAATAATTTCCCCACGCCTTGTCAAATGTGGTTACTAAAACGACCAATCCTTGGAAAACATTGGGAACACGTATTAATTAACAAATTATGGTGATAACGTCACTTTAAATTGTAGGCTGTAGTTTTGCTTATCTTCCGCGTCTACGAAAGCAACTTCCCACACCAATAAATCCGCATTAAAAACCGATCGCCGCACTATTTTAGCGAGCAACAATTGTAACTTTATCTATAGTGTATTAGGCTCACTTGGAAATCTCCGCGTCAAACGAACTCGCCACGTCGAACGGCAGTCGCCACCCCGATTGTGGCTGGCTTTTAGTCTGTATATCACGGCAGAACAAAACCAATACAGTTTCTTGACTCATTCGGACAACTAACTCACCCTCCATCTGACTTTTGTTTTGATGTTTTTAATGACAGCTGCCGACGAAAACGACCGAGCCGCATAAGTGTCGTGCTTATGGCGCAACCTCGTTATAGGTGCTGCAAACACTAGGTTAAAAGCAGAAAACGCGGTAACCATCGTCTGCTTTCGATCGAGTGCAATAGACATTTCCTAAGGGGTATGTGATTCACACACTTGCATTGAGTCCCGCCGGGTGCGGGGGTTGCTATGGCAAGAGTTGCGTCGGCTCCATCCAAACCGGGTTTGACTCCGTTTTGTTAGAGCCGACGCAACTGTTGCCATAGCAGCCCTCGCACATGGTCGGACTCAACGCAAGTGTAACTAGGCTAAAGACTACAACTGGCAATACTGTTTACGGGGTGGACCGCCATGACTATGACGGCCGTCACCGCAGCGAGTGCGGGTAACGCCGCTGCCGTCGATCTCCTACCGAGTAGGAGCTTGGCTGCGATTACGGATGATTTCATAATCGGCGAAGTTAACGAGTACCATGCCGCCCTGAAGATGAGGGACTGTAAACAGTGGCGTAGTACGAATTCGTCACCAAAAACTTCCTCGAGCTGCCATTGGTTGAAACAGCGACATTTCTTCGCGGATAAATGCCAATTCTGCGCTAGCGATCACCGTGAGTTGCGTACTCCATATTAATGTTCATAGATTGTGTATCCAATATATATGACTTTTGTAACATGCTTGTCCTTGTCACGTTTTACGGCAATCATCAGTTTCTTGCGCGCAACCGAATCTCAAAAAACAAAAGAGGATACCTTAAAAGAGCAGAGTTCACCAGAATTGAGCCCATGCTAAAGTGTTCTGATGTTAATGAGATTATTCATAGGCCTGGAAAATATTGTCGTTGCAGCACAAGGAGCGCGTGCGTGCAAGCATCTTTCAAAGTTCTGGGTGTGGGGCTACGGTCCGTTCTTCGAAAGACACTTCGTAGCATGTGAATTGGTGGCAGGGCAGGTCGTCACATAGGGCATTTCGTCATAGGGTAATTCGTCGCGGTGGCAGTTCATCAGACCACTCGAAGACTTTTGTTTTCCAGTGCCATTTTTCTAGCGCCTAAAACATTGCTCCCAAATGAAAAACCTTGGGTGAGGCGCCTTTGACACAAATCTTTGGAGTCGCTTACAATAGCTGCTGGAATCGCTGTTGCTTTCGCAATAGGCGCTGCCTGATTTTTCGGGACTCCAACTCAATCCCGGTTCGAGTCGGCCCGGTAACTAATCGGAAGACAGCGGCAAATATGCAAATTCCCCAAAACGATTTTATTTAGAGATTGTCACTCTACCTTGTAGATACATCTATTCATAGTTAAATGTTTCGGGCGCACGCCTCGAGAATGCCTGTGCTGTCGGTTCCGTTGTAGCGTCGAAGAATTGCTTGAAGACGCTTGTCCCATGCTTCTTGCTTCCTCGACACCATTGTCGAGACGACTCCGCTTGTGGCTTGGTCTAACTTCATTTGGGCCAGCGCCTGATCTTTCTTTAGCGACTCCAGGAGCATCGAGATGTTCGGTGATTAACAAAAGACGTTGCTCTGCAAAATTGTATTGGGATCATATGCACCATCCACGCACTGAAGAACGGAATTGTAGAGCGTGGAAGGTGTATATGGTCCTAATATAATTTTGCAGAGCAAGGTCGGTTCTGCATCACTGAATATCTGGATGTAGCTGGAGTCGCTCAAGAAAGTGTAGGCCCTGGCCGAGAGGAAGCGAAGCCAAGTCCCAAGCGGAGTCGTCTCGGCAATGATGTCGGAGAAAGCAGGGACAAGCGCCTTCAAGCAGTTCTTCAACGCTACAACGGAACCAACAGCACAGACATCCTCGAGGCTTGCGCTCGAGACATTTAACAATGAATAGATGTATCTATAGGGTAGAGTGACCATCTCGAAATAAATTTGTTTTAGGAAACTTACATATTTGCCGCTGTCTTACGATTAGTTAAAGGGACGACTCGTACCCGGCTTGTGCTGGAGTGCCGGGCAATCAGACAGCGTCTATTGCAAAAGTAACATAGATTCCACTAGCTATTTTAAGATACTCCAAACATTTGTGTTAATGGTACCTCACCCGAGGTTTTTTTTATTTGGAAGCAGTATGCTCGACACTAGAAAAATGAAACGGAAAATCAAAGTTCTTTCAATAGCCTGACGAACTGTCACTGCGGAAAAGTCCCTATGACGAAATGCCCTATGTGACGAATTGCTCTGCTACCAATTGACCTGCAACGAATAGACGATTTGCTATTTTCCCAAGCGCCCCGGCCCGCGCGCGAGGAATTGTGGGAGAGACTGTCCCTCGCCTGGCCGCCTTGCCTTGAGATCGCATTGCCTTCTCGCATTCCATTACCTATTCTTATCTGTTCAGGTGTATTTTTTATTGCTTCTAAATGTTTCTATTCTCTCCTGCGCGCAATATTTCTTGTATATATATATAGTAATCGTGTCTTTATTTCGCCTTTTTCAACGGGAGTGCCGACGGGCAACACGCTGCTTCGCGCGTCGTTCCCTTGGTGAGTACTACCGTTGCTACCGGTTCCTATCGCGCTGTTAACTGTTCATTTTTGTCAATTTGACCCGCGTGCAGTCGAGAGGAGCCGTTTATGCTCTGAATCTCTGAATCAACAATCGCGACGAGAGAGCCGAGTGCACTGTTATTTGACCGCCAGCGCTCGCTCCGTTGACTCGCACTGCAGCGTATGCCTTCGAGTTCCACTTGACGAAGATACAGTACGCCGCTTTGTCGCCGCGAACCATTTGTCCGAATGTTTGCGCTGCGGCACCTGACAACAGCACGCAGTTGTCTTCACCCAAACGCTTCGCAGGACGCTGTCTTTTGGAAAGCGGTGCCAGGAAACGTGCTGTGCGCTGGCAGTATTGTTTGCACAGCCTGGTACACAGCAAACTGTACCACCGGGCATGTTGCTGCTGAAGGTGACCTAACGAAATAAAATACTTTGAGTACTTTGAGCTGACGTCCTGACTAGAGAAATAAAATTATCGAAAGAACTACGAGTTTCAAGATAACTGCCTGGGTGACAGCACATTTCTGCACTTGAAAAGGGTGCTTGCAACTGACAACCGCCTAGCAGATAGATTAAGAAGGCATACCATAAGCGCATACAAGCCGCGGCGTTGGGCCACCGGTGCTTGCGAAGGGCTCGCGCCGCAGCGCGGAGTTGTCAGACGCCGCAGCGTTGCATATGCCTCAGCTTCGCAAACATTCGGACAAATAGTTCGCGGCGGCAAAGTGGCGTGCTGTATCTTGGTCAAGTGAGCGGCACTCGAAGGCACACGCTGCAGCGCGAGTCAACGGAGCGAGCGCTGGCGGTCAAATCACAGTGCACTCGGCTCTCTCGTCGCGATTGTTGATTCAGAGCTCTGCATACCCCTGTGACATGTGCGCGGGTGCTCATAAATGGCTCCTCTCGACTGCAAGCGGGTCAAATTGAACCAAAATTAACAGCTAACAGCGCGATAGGAATCAGTAGCAACGGACAACGGTAGTAGTCACCCGGGGAACGACGCGCGAAGCGGCGTGTTGTCCGTCGGCACTCCCGTCGAAAAAGGCAAAATAAAGACACAAATACTATATATATGCAAGAAATATTGCGCGGAGAAGAGAATAGAAGCACTTAGAAACAATAAAAAATGCACTTGAACAGATAAAAACAGGTAATGGAATAGAAAAACAGAGGATTAAGAGGAGGCAAGTGACAAGGCAATGCGATCTCAAGGCAGAGCGGCCAGGCGAGGGACAGTCTCTCCTGCAATTCCTCGCGCGCGGGCCAGGGCACTTGGGGGATTTCGCAAAAGGTCTACGTACAATCCTACAGCCCTGGCTGTTACAGCACTGGCAGGGTTTTACAGCTACGCTATCTTGTTCTGCCCAGAAGGGGCGTACCGGGGGGGGGGGGGGGGGGGGGGGGGGGGTGGCTTATGGGGCTTCAGCTTCCCCCCCTCCTCTCCGCACCCTAAGTGTCATTGACATTCCAGCCACCTCAGCCCCCCCCCCCCCCCCCCCTTTCCCTCCCCCGAAAAAAATTCCTGCTACGCCACTGCTGCCCAGAGCATATTTTCGGTCATGCAAACAGCATCCCACGAACATCTGCCCTTTCCAAGTAGCGGATTTTAGATTTCCGCGTGTACGTCGCCAGGTTCGCGTGCGCATTTCCTTCCTG